CTCAGAAGACAATCTAGCCAAATAACTCACACTGCTGGACATCAGACACATATCTGGAGGTTCAGAAATGAACTTGCATGGGTCAAGTAATGCCATCTGCCTAGAGTTAAGAGATAATACTAACAGCAAATGTCAAATCACAAATGCTATAAAGCAGCAGCCCATCTGCACAAAAGCAAACTACGGTTGTATCAATAAAATCAAAACTCACTTTTTCTAAAAACTGATTACACAGTAACTCTATCAATATTTACAGCAGCATTAATAGCTTTGCAAATAGCATGTAATATTGAAATAGTACTGAGATATGTATACTTCAATATATCTCCAATATGCCAGCCTTTCAGATCCCACTTTACATATTTCTCAAGTTTTGTTTTTTATTAACATCTTTTCCATCTTAACAAGAACTATTAATATCAGAACTCACTTCAAAAACTTAATCCAAAAGATTTTCTTTAGGGTAGTCAGACATTAAAAAGCCAGGCAGGAAAAAAGTAAAAATAATTAAATAATTCCCTGAATTGAGACCTCACTTTTAAACATCACTTTATTATTTGAAACACCCATAGATAAGAAGGCATGGATAAAAATTTATTTACTGATATATAAGGTATACACCTAAATAAAAGTTTGATTATACAACTATATGGTGCAAACACTTGAGAACCTGGTCTGTGAAACATTATGTCTCATATATATTATCTCACAAATCCACACAGCAACACTGTGAAGTAAATATTTCACAAATTAGAGAAATGGGGTTCACAAGAGCTTAGTAATTTGCCCATAGTCAGTAAGACATAAGCAAACAGAGACAAAATTTGGCCTGGCTTTATAAGAAAAGAAATTCCTTCAAAGAGCCTTGCCAGTTAATGTTCTTTTCTTCAAAAAATCTGATGGCATACTAGATAGGAATGGTAGATCTATGCTGAGAAAAAAAGTCCCAGAATTTCTACCACTCTCTTGCTTTGTGACTTTAGTAAACAACTGAACCTCAGTTTTCTTCACCTTTATAAAGAGGATATCATTCCTACACATTGCAGGACTGTGAAGAAGCTGGTTAGGTCAAAGAAGAAAGCCTGGTTCACGTCCATACATAACAGGCACTTAAAACCTGGTAGCTTTACTATTGTTAATACTACTACTTTCTAGGGTAAAATTTTCTGTTGAAATTCCATTAATTATACCATTCCAATAGAATGAATCCTACTGCTACAATTCTGGTTCTGAAACAGCAGCAGCAGGAAGATAATCTCTACCAATAATGGACAGGTTTTGATTAAGAAAATAACATGGAGTATTCAAGTCTTATTCACTTCCAGGTGTTAAAATGCACTTCTAAAAGTGAATACAATTCAAGAACATAAAGAACCTTAAAGATCTTCTAGCCAATCAAATTCTAAGGCTTAATCATAATGCCTACAGTCTTACCTGGAAAATTACAGAAGCCAAAAGAAGAAATGCTCTTAGAAGAAAGTAACGTAGAGGCTCAAGGTAGGGAGGGAAAAGGGGATGATATTCGCAAAAGCTAAGAAGCGTGTTATTTTATTAGTACAACATACAGGAGAACACAAATGTACTTTCTTTTTTTTTTTTTTTTTCTTGAGACGGAGTCTCGCTCTGTCGCCCAGGCTGGAATGCAGTAGCCGGATCTCAGCTCACTGCAAGCTCCGCCTCCCGGGTTTACGCCATTCTCCTGCCTCAGCCTTCTATGTAATGAATTCCCCGAGGAATTATTAAAACTCATCTTAAACAGGTCTAAAACAGGAGAACATAGATATACTTTCTATGTAATAAATTCCCTGAGGAATTATTAAAACTTATCTTAAGCAGAGTCTAAAAGTTTCATCCTTTTATTTCAGCCAATTCCTTATTTGAAACTCTAAAAGGAAAAGATCTTGTTTCTAAAGAAATTTTGAATTAAGAGTAGATGTCAATAATTCCCCTACATAAATTTAAGATGCTTAGCTTCAAAACACAGGAATATGTACAAATCTACTTAAACTCCAGTGCGCCTGTGTACTTTGTCAGAATGTCTGAATTTACATCCTGGATCCACTATCTACTCTGTAACTCCAGACAAATTTCCCAGCATCTCCACACTCGATTTGCTAATCTATAAAATATCTGCCACCAGCAATCCATAATCTATGGGGCTGACAAAGCATTTACTTAAGGTACCAGCAAAGCAGACCAGGAAAGTTAGAAAAACTTCTCAAAAAGGAACTTGATGTTTGAAAAAGACATCAACTTTATCACCATGGTAATAAATGAAATTTTGTTAGATTTTCTTATGTTTGCTTTAGTATGCTATTTTTTAAAAAATTTTCATCACATATGGGAGGGGATGAGAAATGCCTCAGAGTGTAACCTTTTCAGTTCTTAGGGCTTCTAACATCTTAATCTAGCACTGCCTATCTCAAAGCACTGCTATAAAGATTAAATGAAGTCATGCACATAAAGCACTTAACATAATGCCTTGTCATGTAATAATGTCAGTTATTATTATTACTATTGTCATTAGTCTTATTCCTCTCCACGTTTCAGTCGGAAACCTTCTCACACAGTCTTTGTGGCAAATGTAATCATATGAATATACTTTTTATTCCCATGTTTCCAACACTAGTTTAATAATAAAATAAAGGTCTTTTTTAAAAAGATGTTTAATAGCTAGCCCTTAAAAATGGCTTTATCATCAATTAGTCATTAGGTCAATAAACTATTCAGAGCTGGGAAACCACAGGTTGAGAAGAATTTTTGCCATCAGCATAGAAGAAGCTTTATATGCTTATTATATGCTTTTCTTAGATTGTATGTAAAAATATTCCCATTTTTACATTTCTGGAGCAAGAGCACACAGCATGCTACTTAAACATTCCTATTTAAATAAAGACTCAAGTAAAAGCTTAAAAAGAAATAGAAATTAACTGTTATCATATGAACTGATTGATTATGCTCTTCTTAATTATCCTCTTTCCAGGTTTAAGTATGTAGAAGTAAATAGAAAACACATAAGGTATAGCACACCCTAAAGTGAAAACAACACTGGTCAAGAACAATTGTAGTGAAACAACTGTAGGGAAACAACTGTAGAAAACTACTAAAGCATCACTTGAAAATTATACTGAAAATTTGCCAGAACAACAGAATGTAACATATAACAGCAAAGAATTATATCTAAAATATAAATTATGAATAAACTAAACTGCAGAACAAAAATTAAGATAATGATTCATTTTTATACACAAACAGGAAAACCAAAACACTGACTATATAAAACCATATAGAACTACCACTCAAACCACTGACGGGATGTGAAATAATAATTTACATGTTAAACTATCCATTAACCCTGGTTGAAAAAAATCATTGAACCAAACTATGTAGGCTTCAGGGTGGCTTGTCATATACCTTAACAAGGTGCACAGCCCTCACCTCCACTGGCTCTTACCTATCTGCATACCCTTGTTTCTCAGCACTCCACCTTTGCATCTTGCATGCTTGCTGTACAGAGCTACAGCTCTCTGAAAACAGTGTTCAAGCCTGAAATATGCTTACCTTTCTGGTCCATTTGAAAGAGTTAAATCTAGTTATATCTGAAGACTTGGTTCAAGCTTAACCTTCTCTATGCATACTTTTCCTCATACTAACACCTCTATAAAATCTATGACTTGTTCTTTTATGCACCCATTTTCTTTGCATGTACTATTATAATACCTATGATATTTCAATAGAGTTACTTGTTGACACGTCTCCTCCTGCCAGACAATTAATTCTGAGAACAAGTTTACTATCTTATTCATCCTTTTATGTTCAGTAAATAGCACTGTACCTAGCAATACAATAAGCATACAGTAAATATATGAAAATGAAGCTATTATGAAAAAAATCTAGAACAAATATTCCCCTTCAAACAATCAGATTCAGTTACATACTTTAAAAGTATGGTGAAAGACTAAGAAATACAAACTTACTATAGATACTCAGAAGTGAAAGTAATGGTTTTATGGCTCACTAAGAAAATAAAATATCCATTAATTAGATACTTATAAGTTTCAGTTTACTATAATCATAACTGGATAACTGCTATTATGATGAGCAAATATTAGTAAAATTTTCTTCATAAATCACAGTTTTTAAATATTATGTTCAGAATGTTAGAGAAAATTTAATAGTGTAGAACAGATCTGATATAAATTAAACCAAATGTAAAACATTCAAGGTAAATAAGACTGATCACAGAATTAATGATATAATACCTTACTTCCAAACTAACGTTAGTCGGCATAACACCTATCACTACCATGGGTTAAGTCCTCCAATACCTACTTAGTTAATTCTCTTTTCTCTGAAAAATACAGCTAGTATTTTTTCTGTATTTCTGATACTTAATGTGATTTAAAAATTCTTAATTCCAATAATAACAACGAAAATAATCACAATTACCACATAATCATTATTTACTATGTTACTTACCATTTTGCATATATCATATTCAATCCTTATAACAATTCTCTGTCTTGATATTGGTGTCTCCTTGAGATAGCCCAACAAGAAAATTGAGCTGCTGAGATATTAAGTTACCTAAAGTGTCACAACCAGTAAGTGGAAAGGGAAGAACAAACTGATTTCAAAGCCTGTCCTTTCTACAACAGTAGGCCATCTCTCTTAATCTTTCATGAAATATGTTACTCATTGAATTTGTCCAGTATTAAAATTAAGTTGACATCAAATCAGCACTGTCCCAGTAACCAGGGCATGTGGACAACCAACTATTGCCTGCTGACTCCTCTGCTACACTCATTACACTTTCAGACCTCCTGTAACTATCCAGTGGGAACGTATATACAGGCCTGCTATGTGAAACCATTTGGCTATAGATTCAACTACTATACAGAACATTAAAGAACTTTCTTTGCTAACCAACCATGTTTAAAAACACTATTTCATTAAGATAGTTTACATTAATATAAAAAAATCAATCATTTCAACTATACCTCATCCTGAAGTTCATCACCACTTTTAATAGAAGCAAGCATATCATACAAAGTACAGCAAAGATCTTCTACTCTTGGCACTTCAGTCATTTCCTTCAAAGTTGAATTTAAGTACTTTTCAACTTCACACCACAAAAAGGAGCCATTTGTTTTTTCCACAGGCTTGAGTTCTGGGGTGCAAGCCTCCTGGAGATGTTCATTCAGAAACTTCTTGTAATCTAGGCTTATAGTTTTCTGAGTTTCACCATTTATTGGCAGTTCGTCAAAGTGGTCCAAATCATGCATGTCAAATGAAAACGCTAAATTTTTACCAAAAAAAACCCTATCTCCATGTTCTTTTTCTGTCACCTGCACAAGAGCAGTAAGATCATCTTGACTAAAGTGAGAAATAATTCGATTAGTAGCATTACAAGCTGCAGTGGCAGATGATGATGGAAAGGGGCCAAACATCTGTTTGATAGCCTTTGTTTCCTTGTGACCAACAGAGTCCTTCAAGTGAAATGTCATGAAGAGAAATGCAGCCCCACTTTCAATTGCTTCTCTGCCATTATCAGTTCCAACTATTCAAAGACAAAAGAAACAGTATTAGCTCAATTGAATCATGGTTCAAGTTACGATCTTCCAAAAAATTACCACAAATATTCTCCTGAGTAAATCTAACAGTCAAATCATAACAACAGACCAGGTGTAGTGGCTCCATATAATCCCCACACTCTGGAAGGTCAAGGCAGGAAGATCATTTGAGTCTAGGAGTTCAAGACCAGCCTGGGCAACATGGTGAGAACCAGCTCTACAAAAATTTTTAAAAATTAGCCAGGCATGGTGGTGCGCACCTCTAGTCCCAGCTACTCAGGAGGCTGAGGTGGAAGGATCGCTTGAGCCTGGAAGGCTGGGGCTGCAGTGAGCCATGATTGTGTCACTGTATTCAGCCTGGGCAACAGTTGTGAGACCTTGTATAAAAAACAACAAAAACATAGCAATAAAGATAGCCAATTTAAGGAGCAGGAACCAACCCATTCCTGAAAAAGTATTTATTTCCCAAAGAACTACTTTAGGTAAATAAATCATTATCAGTAATTATTATGTATCTAAGTACAGAAACTACCTAATAACAATCCTTACCACTTCTTTCTAAAAACCACTTGAGGCACTAGCTAAAACTCACTTTAAAACTAATTTTAAAGATTGATTTGATGAGCTAGTTAAATAAACCAAAGTAAGGTACAGAAAACAACCTGAATTACAGACTTTTGGAGCTTCAAGGAAACCTCAAAAACCTATAATTTTCTTTCCAATTTGTACCATAAACCTGAGATGGCAAGAAATATTTCTATAGTTGTCATTCAAAAACATTTAATACCATCAAGGATATTTATTAAGCTGAAGATAAAGTCAGTCATATTATAAAATAAAAAAGAATGCTCCTGTTTAAAAGAGGCTAGAAGTAAATACAAGAAGAATCAGCCTCTAATTTATTTAAGGCATTTTCTCATATCCAATTTTCTCAAATAAAAAAAGAAAAGCATCTGTATTTCTGACATGGGTTTCAAAGAATATTCTTAGGGAAGAAAACAAGAATTTAAATCTTCAAAAGGCCCCCAAAGCCTATGTGACTTACCTAAATACTGGTAAAGTTAATAATGTAATGAACACTGGTATCTTCCTAAAAAACATGACTGCAGTTTCTCCCGCCTGTAATCCCAGCACTTTGGGAGGCCGAGGTGGGTGGATCACCGAGGTGGGCGGATCACCGAGGTCAGGAATTCGAGACCAGCCTGGTCAACATGGCAAAACCTCGTCTTTACTAAAAATACAAAAATTAGCTGGGTGTGGTGGCACACACCTGTAATCCTAGCTACTCAGGAGACTGAGACAGGAGAATCGCTTGAACCTAGGAGGCGGAGGTTGCAGTGAGTAGAGATAGCGCCACTGTACTCCAGCCTGGGTGACAGAATGAGACTCCATCAAAAAA